GTAGTTTTATAATGAAATCGTTTATGTCAAAGCTTTCTATTGATGACTCATCGTGTACTTGTGTGTTCCGTGTGATTGCACCTTTCAGACAGATCCATTCAACTCGCCCCTCGATTAAAAGCTGCTTTTCCCTCGAGCACTGAGCACAAGCACACTCATGCTGAACACGGGTCAGAGGTGTACGTCGGCCGTGATGAGACCGAAGACGAAGTGTGTCATAACCGGAACTACACCGACACCACTGCTGTCTGAGGGATCCTGACGCACAACGCTAACCTCCGGGCGCCAATGTCAACCAAAGCCGACTGCTGTGCGCTGTGAGCACATTATGAAGTGCCACTGTAAATTTACTGTATCACAATACAAGACAAATATTCTTTGTATTCTATTCGTGGTCACAGGTCAGTAGTAACGTTCATTTCAAAGCACAACGGAGGAAAACCAGGAGAGAAGTCTCATCACAAATCTTCACCAGAGCCACAGATGTTGAACGTGTCTGTCTTATCTACAGAGGATTTTTACTTTGAGTGAAAACAACTATGTAAAGGTGGAAAACACCTGAAGCGACAAGCCAACTGTCGACAGAAGACGACACTGATGATACATGTGTGTATGTCCTGACGCTGACGTGGAACCTCTGAGTGGCTGATGATTGTTAGGAGACTTGAAGAGATAATACATCGGTGACTGAGCCTGTGGTCCACTGAGGAAATCATCTATATAATCCATATCTTATAATCTGTGTAAAAAGAAACCAAACGTTTGCTAAAGCTGCAGCTTGACATTCGAAACATTTAACTAGTGAAATACAAATTCACTTTTATTATGACGCTCACAGGAAATTCAGTGTTTGTCAGTGAGCTCAGCTGTCTGAGCGGCGGTGTCCCACCGTCCACCGGGATGTAAAAATGTCCAACTATACAGAGAGAAGTGTGTCCACACAGACCTGCGTGTACATCCCCCTGTCGTCCTCGTCAGCCTCCTCCAGCTGGATGACATCTTCGTCCTCCTCCTCTTCATCCAGCTCACTCTCGGTACTCTCCCCTTTCACCTGCATGCCCCCGCGCTCGTCCTCAGACTTCAGGTGCACGCTGAGTCTCTCAGAGGAGGGCGTGCTGTCGTCTGACCCCTCCTTCTGAAGCCTGATCAAAATATCATTACAGATTCACAAATGACATCAAGTTGTTAACGGTTACTAAGATTCATAAAGATGAAGATCATCCATTACTGACCTGTGAGGTCCTGCCCCTCCGTCATCCTCCTGCATGTCATTGGTCTCTGTTAGCTCCTCCTCCGTCTCCTCTGGGTGGGTGGGGGGCGGTCTGGGAAGTTCAGCCCCCTTTGACAGCATCTAGACACAAAAAGTCATGTTAGTATATGAACATGTTTAAAACTGAGTGTGTGTGTGTGTGTGTGTGTGTGTGTGTGTGTGTGTGTGTGTGTGTGTGAACGTGCGCACCTTGTAGTGTTTCTCCAGGAAGTGCTGGTGTTGCTGCTGAACCACCAGCTGCTGCAGGGCTTGGGGGGACTGGGGCAAAGGTGCACTCTGGGTACGAGCCAACGGGCGATGGCGAGGCAGCTTGTTGACCGTCCGCATGCCACCCGACACGCCCCTCTCTGCCGTAACCAGCGGCGACTGGCTGTACATGGGGACTGAGCAGATTGAGACAAGAGCTGATGTTAGTAGTCTAGTGTGTGTGTGTGTGTGTGTGTGTGTGTGTGTGTGTGTGTGTGTGTGTGTGTACCAGCTAGCATAGCAGTCTGTTGCCGGGCCTGCTCCAGCAGCAGTACATGTTGCAGTAATGAGGAATGGGCAGAATGAGAGCTGGTGGGCGGAGTCTCCACATCGTGTCCGACCCCTGCACAGAGACGATGTTAAATCTTTACAGGCTCCAAATAAAACAACACATTTCAAAACTCATTAAAACTCATTCACCACATAAAGTTAAACGAGGCCAATCAAAGCGTGATTATCTTCTGATGTTCACCTGCAGGTAGTGAGGACGTGGAGAGAAACTTCCCCGTTAGAGCCCCGCCTCCTCGCAGTGATTGGATGGCTTGTCGTTCGGCCTCTTGCTGGGCAGACAGCTTCTGGGGGGCCTGAAGGGGGGGGG